GAACATCTCATTGTAGAAAATTTTTAGGTTGCTTTGTTATGGATTTATCTCATATTCTGAAAGCTTGAAACTATGTGCAAAATATTAAAATATGATTCTTTCCTTTCCTAACCCCGATATGAATGATCTCTTCACCAACCTTAATGTTAAAAGAGGTTTGAACGGCCTAGAAAAGTAGCTTTGTGAATGGTGTCAAAATTTATTAAACAATGAAATGAAAAGAAATTTCCCCCCTATATTTGTTTTTAAAAAAGCCATTACGATGTCAGCTCCTTACTAGCTACTTCGAAAACGATATAGGTTACAGTTTAACTGTTTGATAAATGTATATTATTTTTACTTGAATACAAACTACTTTGAAAGGAAACTGATTGGACTAAGTATTTTTCTTGTACCTTAACATAAAGAATTGAGGGGAATTGTATAAGTCATAAATTTATGGAGTGTAACTCACTATGATACCCTTTAAATTATATCGTTAAACATCCGTCATTGATAAGACCAGAGCAGTGTCAACGAATTTAATGTCTGCGTCTTTTATATGTAGTCTTTTAATGCAAATTTGAAACCATTATTTATTCCCTCAGCAAACTTTGACAATTAGAGCAAAAAAGTTAGTTGCAATTTGCACCAATACTGAACATTTTTCAAGGACGTCTGCGGGTTCTGTACTTTGTCCATGGTAATAGTAAAATGGCAGGTGAAAAGATATGAATTGTAATTCTTCAACTATTATAGCGTCTTTAAAAGAAAAAGAATAAAGAGAAGAATGCTGACAGAATATATTTAGCTATCTCACATTACACAAGCACAATTTTTTTACACATAGGAAAAATGTTGCTTTACTGGATATATCTTAACTGCAATGATATATTTTAAAGTTAATGAACAAGATGTATTTATATGCGTAACATGTGAGCTAACTTGTAACCATGTGAACTGCAAATGTATATATCAGTTTACTTGTAAAGATTACTTTCAAAAAATAAATATGTAGTTTAATTGGTTTATTAATTAAACCTGTTTAATATATTTGTTTTTCCTTCTTATTTTTTTTAAAATCATCTCTTACTATTTAAATTTGACATTTATAATATTAGCAGTTTTTACATGGATAATAACTGGCAATTCTCTCTGACTGCTTAGTATCGTACGACAGTGTTGCCATATTAATACAGGTGTGTTTAACGCAATGTCTCTGAAAGTGTTCACTCTTTATTACTTTAGAAATATTTGCTTCATAAGCAAGTAAAATGTTAATAAATTACGGAAAACACTCGTGCATGTTGAAATAAATTTGTTCACATTTGTAAACTGCACCTGCCATGACTGGCTTTTCCATAGTACAGATTTACAACACATTAATCATACGAAAGCATCAGAAGATCTCCGAATACGTCATTGCGGTTGTTTTGGCATTCAGTGCAGTGTTATGTACACTATTGCTACGAATGCTGTTTAAAAGAAATATTTCTTTAAAAATTAAAATATTTATGAAGACTAAACATCAAGCTATGTTTGCCTTGAATACGGTTTTGTTCCATCTAAGAGAACTTCAGTTGGTAACGATTTTCAACCCGTAAGTTAAAAAGTCAGTGCTGATTGCTGAACTGTCATCACAGGAAAACAGATACAAGTCGTGCTTTATCTGTGCCGAAAATTAAAAGCTGCGGTTGCTGTCATAGCTTCAGCACCAGGAACGTCTGACTGTAAATAAATAGTTTATTATGTTTGAGATGGAAACACTGTCAGTACAAGTTTTAACTGGATGGAACATATAACTTGTCAATACCCCGAACTAATGACGGCCATGGACTGTCAAAAGTATAGGCGGACAGTGACAGTCATAATTCGGTACTTTCAACTAATTTCTTTTCATGTTTTAAAATATATTCGTATAATCCATCTCAACAGATACGTTCTGGAATGGCTATTAAATATTACATGTCCCCAGTTAACAATATTTTATAAATAAAATGACACGTGATCTTTAATATGTCTATTCCACAATAACAGGTACAACACATTACTGTGAACACTCGGTGATACATTACATTTTCTATTATTGTCAGTTCCGTGATAAAAGGTGAGACATCTTTGATCACTGAAGTTAAGTTGTAGAGTAATGTTTCTAATTAACTGGTCAAATAATTAATTCATCGTAAGAACAGATACAACGTATCTTATTATATAATCAGTGTCGAAATCAAGATAATTACAGTGGAAATCGAATTTTAATAAGACAGTAGTAGCACAAAACCAGTCATAGGTACCATTTATCTTATGTTATAACCTATGCACGTCGCTACCCACACCCACTCACCCACTGTAATGTGTCGAATTTTGAAAACTCTTAGAAGCTTTGTTTAAAGGAATTGTATCAAAGTCAACTTAATTAAAGTAGAAAGGGCTAGAGATAGTTAGGTGATTATTTTCATTTCATCTCTGAACGTCAAAAGGGAATTCGTTCTAGCCGACGTAACATGACCGAGTCAGATGCTATGGTACAAGAGAATGACATAAGACCTTTCCCCAAAATCGGCAGGGTAAAGGCGGCAACTGGCTATAGATGATAGCTCAAAGTAAATGATTAATTACGGCATGATTAGTTGTTTAGTTTTCTTGTCAATCCAAACATTCTACGAACAGGTTTAGGAAACTGTCTATTCCGATTGGTTAATATGGATTTATGGGCGTAACTCTGTAAGAAATTAAAGGTTTTACTTTAGGGAAATTATTTAGTCATCTTCGATCTTTCGCAAGGAAAGTTAGTATGACTCCGAAATTCGTAGAAAGTACGTTTTCGTTATTGAGTAAGGGGCCGGATAGTTCTCTCAGTTAGGAGACGGACTATACGTGATGTTCGTGGAAACATAAAGAAACGGCAAAAGGAAACAGCTTTCCTGGATTCACATGAGAAATCCCTGAACAATCACAGGACGAGAACAAGATCTACGCAGAAATCTAAGTCCAGAGACGATTGTTAAGTCAGAGTTCGACGGACAAGAGTCCAAGACGAAAAAGCTAGACAAAGATCGACAGAGTAGGGACGAACGGAAGTCTTGATGTCTGCATAAATTAGGTGATGAAGTCTCTCATCGTTACACTCAAAGGTCACATCTCATTGGCAATGAGGGTAGCAATTTAACGTTGAAAGTAATTTTACATTTAAAGAAATTTGTATTGTCTTTTTTATTTGAGTACATGTTAGTACCATTTTTCCTTCTTTTGTAACTAAGTCATTGATTTCTTTTCATTTTAAATTCTGTTGATAAACTGATTAAATTTTATATTTGTTCATTGAAAGGGGGCTCGTATTGTTATTTCTTCAATATACTCGTTCAGTGATCTGCATTCTTCTTTCTATCTATCCACACTGGGTAAACTACACCGCGGAGGTCATTCCCTAGCACCCACCTACCCACCCACGTCCTAAATTGTACACGTCATGGGTGTAGGTTCGTGTATCCTTGCATTCGTCCGTCCGCCAGTCGGTTTTCTTTTGTAGTTGAAATTCATCTATACCATTCAAAGGAGTAATCATATTTCTTACTATTTCACAGAAGGGTGAGTTGATAACAACGCAAGTTTCGAGTCCTAAATGAGTCCCTTGGGTGTTAAGACATAAGAATAGTTTATTCCCTAATTTAGGTCACCGACCCATATTACAAAATACAAGTACATGCATTGTGCGCCATGGTGTACATGAATTAAATGTGTTTGATATACGCATACATACACAATTTCCTATAAAGAATCAACGTGTGATATTGTAAAGGTAGTGTTAACTGCATCGTACACCATTCTCAAGGGTTATCAAAGATTGTCTAAGACCGTATTGATAAAGTAAGAAAGATATCTCATAATCAATATATGACGATGACTCCGGAGGGATACATACAGACGAACATAGATAATAAACTTCATTAAAGTATTTCTGTCTTAAATTGTCATAACCTTTACAAACATAAACAAACTGGAATTTATCTTTTACCAAAAAAACATTAATTTTCAGGAATAAGTCACGATATATTTTTTTTCCTCTCGGCCATGCAGTGTCTACCTGTCTCTACTTACAGCATTGCGTTGAGAACCTGAATTTAGCAAGTAACTTCCTAAATAAATATAAATCTACATGATAGGTATGTTACCTTTTCTAATTCAGTTTTATACATCTTATTATTCACACAGGGATGTGAATTGTTAATATCGCTTTGAAAGGCCGAATCCGCGGTTCTTTGCTAAAGTATCGAGAAAAATTGGTTTTCCTCTCCAACATCTTGATTTAACCAGACATACCCGAAACTTAAGCGAAATATCTTTAATTTAATTTTGGTAGCCCATGTGACGCGATTGGTTTCATCTAATCTTTTCAACATTAATTTAAAAACGTCGATGTAGGTAGCGAGTTGAAGGCATTCTTACAACTTTTAGCAAATACTTAATACATCGTACCAAACATACGAGGTAAAAAGTGTGTATCTTTCGCGCTCCTCGAACACAGTCGAATTATTGGTAGCTTTAGGAACTACTAAATACTGTTTGCAAAAGTTGTGTTGCACAATTTCAATATATCTGCTAAATTCATATCCCCGAGATCATGCAATTGATTTTATCTCAAAATAAAAGATTGTAAAAACATTCTCAACACAAAAACTAAATTTTTGGTGGAAATTCATAATTTATGTTGTTTTTTTTTTCTTTGCCTGTAGCTCTGCTATCTGCTTTGCTATTGTCCAAACTAACTTTGGGGATGAAAAATAAATATGTGAGGACAATGGTCCCCAAAAATTTAACTTATATATCACTGAAGAAATTCTGTGAATTATTCATAGAAAAATACAGGTTTGTTCTCAAAATCAAATTTATTTTTCAAATAACTTGATTTAATTATAAACTATTTTAAACAAAGGCCAAAGCCCTCACCCCACCCTCAGCATGACGTTCCGTTCACACCTTGCCAAGACTGCTAGTGCATTGATCTCCAATCTGAGACAACCGCTCCTGTATCCTAGTGGTTAAAGCGTCCGCCTCAGATGTGAAAGGTCGTGGGTTCGAACCCCGGCTGAGACATACCAAAGACTTTACAAAATGGTACTAACAGCTGCCTCGCTTGAAGCTCGGCATTAAGATGTTATTGTTAAGACTGGTTTTCCTGATGTCAGGATAATGTGAATGGGTGGGACATCATGCCTCATGTCAGCGGCTCCAGTGCTAGACATCGCTCACATTTCAAACATTGTTGCAATATGACTGAATATTTTTTAAAGCTACGTTAAAAATCAAAATCACACACACACACACATACACACACACACACATAAACACACACACACACACACCAATTTGAGACGGACATGACGCAAATCCAATATTCAATGATTCCATGACCCGTCAAGATCAGAGATTATTATTAATAAAGTCGTTCAAAAAAAATGCCTTACAGCACGTTGCATGTCAGAGATCTCTACATGTTCGTCTCCTGCAGCTATATATATATATATATATATATATATATATATATATATATATATATATATATATATATATATATATATATATATATATATATATATATATATTGTTAGAAAGAGCCCTAATTTGCCGTGTGTTTATTAAGTCTATTCACTCACTTATATCGACTCTGTTTCATCAAATGGATGCAACTTTAAATACTTAAGGACAATTAAGAAACATTAAGACGACAAAATAAACAATAGGAAGATAGAGAATTTTTGAAAGCTGCGGGAAGGACCTTGAGTAATGTGTGAAGTACTTAGGGCTGATTTAGTGCAATGGTGAAGGGTGATTTATTGACCCAAAAGGTGGAGGTGATTTATTGACCCAAAAGATATCAACCCTTCTGATAAGAATATTTTACAGCGCTGTGTGCCCTATCAGCATTGGAGTGATGAAAGACAGAGAGTCGGTGTAACGGCATAAAATCAGCAAACATCATCAATAAAACTACTCTTCGGACGATCAAAGCATTCCTCTGATAGGCAAAACTCACGCCTAGTTATGTGTGAAAAGAGATTTAATTGACCGTAGTGTCAAATTTAACTGTAAAACTGAATGGGTGCAGGTTGATGATAAAAAACAATTAAACAACTGGGGGGGGGTCGTCATTGCGAAATGTTCGTTCAGAATTTTGATAAGGGAAGCTACTACAGCATAAGTATCGCATCTCATAATTATTACACTGAGTCAATTCAAAATGGTTCTTCACACTGATGTATCTTGCCTGCGTCTACTTACATCATATACTATTGTTATATTTTCTTCTCCGAGTCCACTGATATAGCTTAGCGCTCTTATTTTTTGCCTGCGTCCACTGACATCATATACCCTCCATGTAAATGGCCTCCAAAAATTTCAGACTTACATTAATGTTATCGCCATAGTAAAGGTCAGGAGTAAAGTGCATTAAGGTAGGATTCGAACCCGCACCATTTCGGTCGTGAGTCAGGCACGCTAGTGAAGAATCGCGACTGCCCGGGAGGTAAGGTCGTGCCATGTATAAATTACCTTCTGCCAGTTCAGTGAAAGCAATAAATAAAAAAAAATTAATAAATAGTTTTTTTTTCTAGTTTAACGCCATGTTTCAGCACACGATAGGCTATACATGACACCCAGTATAACTGGTGGAGGAAGAACTCTGGAAAACCGCGGTAAGTAGCCCACGGTAAGCTACTGGAAGCCTTACCAGGTGCCCACACTGTTCGAACGCGGGACTAAAACCCACGAGGACAAAGGTTTGATGTGAGTCATCGGTAAAAGCGAACGCTTTGGACACTCGGCCACCCAGTCACTCCACCCCACCCCGCCCCCAAAAAAGATAAATCTTCTAGAAACTTCAGAATATAGCGAATAAAGCTATTATGATAATTATGTAATAACGATGACGATGCCGATGACAACGATGACTGGGGTAGTAGTGGTGGTTTCTGATGTTGAAAATGGTACTGTTGATCGTGACTTTGAGAAAAATCTGGTGCAAAGCCTTGCTAGATAAAATTTACTGGCATTGGATTTGACTCGGAGAATGTGAAGAAAACAAAATGGAATTAGGTGTGAACATGCCTATCTCTCCTTATCTAAGACCTACCTCATTCAGTCCATTACTAAAATTCTTCATAGCTACTTTTATTACCACCTATCCGTATCCATTCCTACTTTTATTACCGCCTATCCGTATCCGATGGACACAGAGGCATAATTGTTGATAAGAACTACCGGTCTTGAAACTTGCAGGCCTTGGGCCTCTGCCTATAAACCATACATGTCTAACTAACAAGAGACGTTACCCATTTTGATCAGATCAACATAAATCAGGCAGCCTCCTACTCCGAAGAAACTCGTCTTCTTTACGCAAATTAAAGACTTTACTTTTCTTTGTTTCTTGTGAAAAATCCTAATCAAAATGGGAAAGCCGACTACCGTACTACAACTGGTTTTGGGGAGACTGCGTATTTTCATGGGTCTTGAGTCTCATGCATTGGGGTTTGAAAAATGATTACAGCTTCCTAGTCCAACAATTTAAAAGGGAAATAAATACGTGCATTGAGATTATCTAGACTCGTCACAAGTCAGAAGTGTACCCAAATATTTTTGTCAATTTTGCTACAATTGCCTGCAATTTGCAGGAAACTAAAAACTGTGTCACTCTATATTTCCGGGAACATACCTTTAAAGTGGGCCATACGTTCAATATATACACTTTCAATATATACTTTCACATCCAAACCCTTTCCCTTCCTTGTATAAATGTACTATATATAAGGTTCAAATTGTTATTATCGTTCTAATTCCATTGTTGGCAAACATTCAGGTAAACTTAGCATTTATTCCTCAAGATTGAAACATCAGATATCACCGCCAGTCCTATCTGCTAGCGGTACATAGCATTCACTTAATTTAATTTCTTCCTGTCTAGCTGCTCTCAACAAAATCAACATTGGAAGAATTATTTAACAAAATCTTAAGAGTTGCCATCTAATCAATGGAAATCTGCTGTTTCAAAACCCATTCGCCACATCAGCAATTGAATTTGAGGACTTGGGTAGTCGGGTGAAAGCTGGTTAGAAATTTAAGTTGGATCTCTCGTGTTCACTTGCTTGAATGGAATTGCTATCAAACGTTTGGGGTCTCGATTTTAATGAGACTCTCCTAAGGACCGGATTGGGGGCGAGGGTGTCTGGTGACCCCTTCCCCGGCTAATAAAAAACTTAGACACACATGTACAGACACTTTCCACTTAAAATGTTACCATCGTTTTATTCTTGCGAATGTTTATCGGGTATTACACACACTTTGAGTAAGCAGACACATAAACTTTTGCTTTGTTGACCTTTCGAAGTAAGTCAGTGCCCTTTGGACATGTTTTTCAAACCCTCAGTCCCGAATACTTGACATGATCTGGCCATGCTCCTTACTTTTGATTGGCGGGCGTGATAGCAAATCCCGTAGCCAGTCCAAGGCCATGTGACTTTTTGATTGGCGGGCGTGATAGCAAATCATGTAGCCAGTCAAAGGCCATGTGATTTTTTGATTGGTTTACTTGACCAGCAAGAAGATACCTATAAAAGGAATAGTAAAATTAGTGTTTGTTGATGTAAATGGTCGAACGACCGCAAAATTCAATAATGCAAGCTCAGTCGGTTTTAAAAGAGTTCTCCCACCCTAGAGCCCAAGATCAACATATTCAGCTATAGCTCCCACACTTTATAACATAAACATCATGACTCCCATAAGAGAACATATATATGTATAGATTACACACAGTATTGTCCCCACATGACATGAACTTGCCGAAACGAGAAAGCCAAATTATGATCAGAAACTTCATGGGCCCACAAATTGGCAATGATTGGCATTTTAACCCCTCCAGACACAATTTCACCGCTAAACATAGCTAAAACTTAATAGGCGACTAATGCTTGTTTCCCTCATTACATTAGGCTACCTTCATTTTGTACTTCGGAAAACAAGTTCGCTCATTACACTAAAAAACAAAGTAGCTAACAGAAAAGTTAAAAAATAAAAAAAATAAAAATAAAAAAAAAAAAAAACTCAGGGACTATTTCATCCGGGAATGTAACTACTACCCTTTGCAACGTCAAGATAAGGCACGCCCACGCAAATAGACTGGACCTAGATTTGACAGGTGGAAGCCGGAATTAACAGTCCAACCCTCTTGGCACGAACAGCAGTGGATCAATTTACAGTGTCGGATTCGCAATCTTTAGTGGTCGATATTTTAATACCTGCCCAGGCAAGTCGGTATCAGTTAATTCGATATGGAATTGGAAAAGGCTGTTATATCCATCTGCATGGCTTGATATAGCCAATATGTTAAAAATACCCTTAAAATGAACAAAAGAAATAAACAAACGAACTAACCAATTTAAGAGGTAAATTTATCCCTTTTGTTGATTCGAAAAGTGCTTCCAAAATAATCTTTGATAATAATTCACTCGAAAATACCCAGGTGTATGACACGTTTCGTGTGATATTATGCCAGCTACAAAACAGAACCAGTCGTAACATGGGAGTTAGGTTAATGTTTCACCTTCCCTGTATCAACATCATCCTGGAATTCTAATCCTGTGTATTTTGTCTGCAAGGAGGAAATACCATGCAATAGCACACACACCCCCCATGCATCCAAACGAGACCCGGTATGCCATATTATGGCGCGCACAGTACTTGTATCTTACATCTAATTAACTATTTAAAGATACAGAAGGTCTGAAGAATGATTTTTTAATGGTTTTTAAGAGGATACGTTAATTGGAAAAAAAATGATATTAAAGAAGAATAAAAAGATTGGACAAAAGCATTCTGTCTTAAGATCTTGATAGGATTTCGGTACACCGAGGTTTCGGTTTTGATATGTATGTATGTATGTATGTATGTATGTATGTATGTATGTATGTATGTATGTATGTATGTATGTATGTATGTATGTATGTATGTATGTATGTATGTATGTATGTATGTATGTATGTATGTATGTATGCATGCATGCAAGTATGTATGTATGTATGTATGTATGTATGTATGTATGTATG